AGACGAGGCCCGCCCCCGGCCCCACCATAAAGAGAACGACAGCGGCCGACACGTGTGCCTCCCTCCCCCACGTTCAAGGAAGGCCACGCGCTGTACTCCCACAATTCCCCTGCAGGGCAGGCCTCCCCCGCCTCTCACCGGCCACCGGAGCCGCCATTTTGTCTCCTCTTGCTCGACGACTCCGCCCCCCGTGTGAACGAGATGGGAAGCCGCCAATCAAAGGAAGGCTTCCGAGACGGCTACCAATCACCGAACGAGCGGCCGCCCCCGCTTATCCTATCAGAGCTCAGGGATCCGGAAGAAAGGCGGGACGTCGCTGAGTCGCCGAGGTAACAGCGCCTCGGCCAATGGGTGACCCCTCTCGTAGCCCCTCCCGTTCTCTCTCCCCGCGCAGGAGCACAGAGAGGGGCCAGAGCGGCACTCCCGCTCACCTGTCGGCCTGTCCCGCCGGCTGCGCGCGCAGCAAGGGCACAGGTGGGCTTCTGGTCGTCGCCCACCCGGCCGGGCTGTTGTGAAAAGGGCCGCCTGTCGAACTATAAATTCTAGGAGAAGTCTCAAATCCTTCCTTCCACGGGCTCACCCATCCTACCTCCCGATATATCCTGGCCTGGAGTTGGCAACCAAGTCGGCGCCCACCTCCTTTCCGCATCCTCTTCCTCCCAGAGGGGGCCACTCCCGCTCATCACCCCGTGGTCCAGCTGACGGGGGGGAGGGGGGCGCTCTCAATGTTCCCTCTAAGCTGTAGAGTCCTGTGAGCAAAGATTCTACTTTGTGAGCTACTGGCATTAAAGTTGTGAGCAGGTGATTTGGCTACTGCATAAATTAGTGTGTTCTGGAGCCCTCCTTTTTGAGCCAAGACAAAAATCTGTGAGCCGGAGGCTAAAAAACTGAGCTAGCTCACACTAACTCAGCTTAGAGGGAACATTGACTGTAATTATATGCTGATTTTATGTACGCGATTTTATGTAACAGCGTTCCGTGCACCTCGGCGTCTAGTCACGCCGGCCACAATGACCACGGAAACGTCTTCGGACAGCGCCGGCTCTTTGGCTTGGAAGCGGAGATGAGTATCGCGCAACCTCATACCTCTGCTGTCAGGCAGGGCTGCCCATTGTGCAGAAGAAACCATTTCCCCCTCTGAGCTTTGGCTAACTAGATCTGACCCTGGCCACAGGGACTAGTCCCGACAGATTCTTTCTTAACTCAGGAGGAGAGGTGTGAGACAGAACACCCCCCCCCCCCAATATAAAATTCCACTGCTTGTTTTTCTGCAGGAAAAAAATGTCCACTTCTACAGGTTTATCAGTTCAATACCAACACAATATTAAGAACATAAGCAGAGTGGCCAACCAGTTCTTCTGGAGGGGCAACAACAAGGCACAGAAGCCAAGGCCTTCCCCTGATGTTACCGCCTGGCACTGGGATTCAGAGGCTTAATGCCTCTGAACATGGAGGCTCCCTTGAGTCACCACAGTTAGTAGCCACTGACAGACTTAACTTCGATGAATCTGCCCAATCCCCTGAGCTATGTGGTCACCCCTACACCCTCTAGTAGCAAGCTCCACATTTTAATCACTTCTTGAGCATTTATGCCAATAAAGGTCAAATGAACTGAACTTCTTGAGCAAAGAAGTATTTCCTTTTGTGCTTCCTGAAACTACTGCACAACAGCTTACACAAGACTGGCAGTTTCAGAGTTCCAACTAATGATTTGATTGATTTGATTTCTATCTCGCCCTCCCTGCAAGCGGGCTCAGGGCTGGTTACAACATAGAGGAAACAATACCAACTTTAAAAATGTTTTCCGGGTGGTTAGGAGTCGTGTAAGGGAGTACAGGTGTATGTTTTGTTGATTTGTGAATGGAGGGCGGAGGGATAAAATCCCAAAGGCATAAAACGATCTCAATTCAAACAATCAAGTTAGAAATGCACAGCCACATTCTTATTTATCTCCTCTTGTACTGCAGAAAAGATACTGTAATCACCAATCTAATATGGAACTCGCAAGTCTGATGCTATCCATTATTAAAAGTCTGATGCTATCCATTATTAAAGACAGAATTAGTAGGCACATAGATGAACAAAAGCTATCGAGGAAGAATCAGCATGGGTTCTGAAAGGGAAAATCTTGTCTCACTAACCTGTTAAGAGTTCTTTGAGGGGATGAGCAAACCTGTGGACAAGGGGGACCCAATAGATGTTGTTTACCTTGACTTCCAGGAAGCTTTTGATAAAAGTTCCTTATCAGAGGCTCCTAAGTAAACTCAGTAGTCATAGGATAAGAGGACAAGTCCTCTTGTGGATTAAAAACAGGAAACAGAGAGTCTAAATGGGCAATTTTCACAGTGGAGAGTGGTAAGCAGTGGGGTACTGCAGGGCTCAGTACTGGTGGTCCGGTGCTTTTTAGCTTGTTCATTAATGATTTGAAATTGGGAGTAAGCAGTGAAGTGGCTAAATTTGCTGATGACACTAAGTTGTTCAGGCTGGTGAGAACCAGGGAGTATTGTGAGGTGCTCCAGAAGGACTGGGTGAGTGGGCATCAACGTGGGCAAGTGCAAAGTGATGCACACAGGAGCCAAAAATCCTATCTATAAATACATGTTGATGGGGTCCAAAGTGGCAGTAGCTGACCAGGAGAAAGATTGTGGTAGATAACTCACTGAAGATGTCAACTCAAGTGTGCGACTACAATAAAGGCCAGTGCTCTGCTGGGGATTATTAGGAAGAGAACTGAAAACAAATCAGCCAGTATCGTAATACCCCTATAAATCAATGGTGCAGCCCCATTCTGGTTACGACCATCTTTCAGGTATGTTGTAGGGCTCTCTTTCGGCTATGCTCCTGCAGAGTGCAGGGGGATGGACTATTTGACCTGCAAGGTCCCTTCCAACTCTAACATTCTATGATTCTATGCACATCAAAAAAGATATTGCAGCATTGGAAAAGGTGCAGAAAAGGGCCACTGAAATGATTAAGGGGATTGGAACACCTTCCCTATGAAGAACGGTTAAAGAGGTTAGGGCTCTAGCTTGGAGAAACAACAACTGGGGGGGGTGACACGATAGAGGTTTACAGAATTATGCACAGGACAGAGAAGGCAGAGAAAGAAGTACTTTTCTCCATTTCTCACAGTACAAGAACCTGTGGGCAATCAACGAGATTAATGAGCAATCAGCTAAGAGCAGATAAAAGGAAATACTTCTTCACTCCAAGAGTAATTAACATGGGGAATTCACTGCCCCAGGAAAGGGCAGCTACAAGCATCGACAGCTTCAAGAGTTGATTGGAGAAACATCTGGAGCAGAGGTCCATCAGTGGCTATTAGCCATAGAGGGAATATTATGTGGCAGTGACACTCTGTGTTCTTGGTGTTTTTTGGGGGGGGGCAACAGTGGGAGGGCTTCTGGAGTTCTTGGCCCCACTGCTGGACCTCCTGATGGCACCTGGGTTTTGGCCACTGTGTGAAAGACAGGGTGTTGGACTGGATGGACCACTGGCCTGATCCAACATGGCTTCTATTATGTTCTTATGAGTGACAATGAAACCAAGGTGCTCCCATGACCTCTGTGGAAGACAGATCAGGTTTTCCAAAACACATGCCTAGGCAACCACATTCACAGCATCACATACACTGTATTTTGTGTGTGTGTGAAGTGTCATCAAATTGGTCTCAACTTACAGTGAAGTTGTGAATTAGTCCAGGTGGGTCACCATGTTGTTCTGAAGCAATAGAACAAAGATTGAGTCCAGTGACACCATTAAGACCAGCAAAGTGTTATGCTGGGTATAAACTTTCGTGTGCACTGCTGTACACACAAAAGCTTATACCCAGCATAAAACTTTGTTGGTTTTAAAGGTGCCACCGGACTCAAACTTTGTTTTGTGAATTAATGACCTCCAAAACATCCTGTCATAAAACAGTGTGGCCGCTGTGTGACACAGAGTGTTGGATTGGATTGGCCATTGGCCTGATCCAACATGGGCTTCTATTATGTTCTTAACAGTGGGAGGGCTTCTAGTGTCCTAGCCCCACTGCTGGACCACCTGGTGGCACCAGGTCTTTTCGGCCGCTGTGTGACACAGAATGTTGGACTGGAGGGGCCATTGGCCTGATCCAACATGGGTTTCTCTTATGTTCTTTACAGTGGGAGGGCTTCTAGTGTCCTAGCCCCACTGCTGTACCTCCTGATGGCACCTGGTCTTTTTGGCCGCTGTGTGACACAGAGTGTTGGACTGGAGGGGTGTCAGCAAGCTGCCAATTTCTTGTTTTATTCTTTCCTTATGTGCGCTTGTTTGCTTTCACTTATGTGCGCTTGTTTGCTTTCACTTTCATATGTATAACTGTTGATGCGCATAATTGCTTAGCCTGCCGAAACGTCTATATCGCTCAAGGCCACAAGTGGTTGCCGCTGCTTGTTAGTTGCTAGAGGCTCTCACGAAGCACCGTGAGAAAGAGATAACATATGCTGCCTTGAAGCGTTTGCTCCCAGGCCCGATGGCACGCGGGGGAAACCCCGCAATTGGGCCTCAGTAGTTTGAATGTACTATAACATGCCATGCCCTTTGCTCACCCTTCATTCTGAACAGTGGTTTTGTCCACGCACCTATAGCTTCAAATAAAGTAAAACCTTTCTACAAGTGTGTACTGCATTGATGCTGTGGGAAGTCTGACATTCTGTTCAGAATCCCTCCATTCCCTATCTCAGCACCTCCATCGATCTCGATATGAGTGACGGAGAGGGGAACCCAATTATTCCTGACAACAAGGAACCTGAGGAGCCGGACACAGGGAAGGAAACCCCGGAGACTACGGCGTCGGTGCCAGTGCCTACTCAGCCGCCGATCTCTGTGCTGAGTGGGGGGGCGATCCTGAAGAAAGCCACGGCGTCCTTGTTCCTGACTCCACAAGGCCCAAAGTACAGACAGGGGTACGACAGCCGACCCAGTCATAGCTGGAGTCAATTTGACGCAGATGCCATGAGAGTCGTATTCGCACCTTGGGGGGGGCCCTTGCGGGACAGTCTGTACGACAGAGGTTTAGCGGACCCAGGTCTAACCCCCTGGGAGGACACTTCGAGGCCATCGTGCCGCCATGGGTGACGGATCGTTCGAAGGCCAGGAGTGGCCAGGCGTCCCCGGATGAGGAGCTACGGGAACGGGTTGCAACGACTGAGCGCACCGTGCAACA